TAAAACTTGTTATTTTACGGTGATAATCTTGTTTTCTTGTGCCCAATAATGCATAATTTCATTTGATAAACACGTTTAGATTGAATGGTAATTTATAATCAGTCACAAGAATGTCGAATCTGAATCACTTGAAAAAAACACGGGGGTGCTTAACTTTTTTCCAGGTGTATATGAAACATGTTTGCTAATATTGGATAACTTTTTGATCATGTTGCAGTTCCAAGCTATTTCAGCTCTCATCAACCTCCCTAGATTAATGATGGAAAATATTATACAACAGAATTTTATATTCACTGTAGATTTGGGAAATACTCGGTGTGAATTTTGTTTATCCACAGACAATTGCACTATTTCATACGATTTACCACCCTGATAAATTAGTTTAGACAAATCGACAAAGAAGAGTCAGTTCTGTTGTGATTTGTCTAAACTAATACTTCTCTAATAATTAAATTTTTCACCGTTTTCATTCTTATTTTAGTGATCTATCCTGGTGAGTTAGTCCAGCTTTCTCAGAGAAATCTAAAACGTAGTACTGCTTTTTTGGAAAATACTTAAAAAGTATAGTGTAGGTTCCTTACAGAAGAATTGAACTAGTACAGATACCTTTGCGTAACGATGAACCAAGGTTTTTGCCTTATCATGGCTATAATGTTACAAGTTCCGATTACCCTTTAATTGTTTTGGGTAGTTATGTTTAAAATAAATCTAAGTTTCCTCGTCTGATCTACTAAAAGGAGCTGTATGGGTTTCTACGTCAGCAATGGCAGTTCTAGAACCATGTTTGCCCGTGTGGTTGATGGACACAATGGAACTTCCTAGGTGGCAACTCGGTAAGTAGTACCAGTAAAATTCATTGAAATATCTTAAAGCAAATGGAATAGAAAAACAACACCCTTTTAATTTTAAAAAGAACCATAAAAAGATTTTTAAAATAGCAACGTTTCTCCGAAGCTTCCGTTATAAACAAGGGAATTGCTGTTCACGGATTGTAAGAGAGGCCGTTAGAGAAATCACTCGTTCGAAGAAATGACATTGAGATAATAAAAGTATAGGCATAACCCTATCCAGATAAGATGACGTCCCCCTAAAGTGAGGTAAAAAATATTTTTGTCTGAAGTTTTTTTTAATTCCCAGTTTCCAGAAATATACCAGTGTTTCATAGTAGTGACGATAGGTTTCTTGCTTTAATATTTTGAACTCTGCTTTTTAAACTTTAACAAAAGTATTAAAAATTCACGAATTTTAAAATAAAGTGGGGATCCTGCTATAAAAAAGTAATGAAACAAGAATTAAAACCACAATCGCAAATTTATAAATTATAATCCTTACTTTTGCAGCAGTAGGCCAAAGTAAGGATTAAATTTTATAAATTTGTAATTGTGGTTTAATTATTGTTTCATTATTATTATAACAGGATCCTTACTTGATTTCATAATTAATAATTTTTTTAATGCTCTTGTTTGTTTACTTTTTATGTTATACCTGTATAAAGTATATCTGTATAAGAGCAGATATCTACAGACCAATCAAGTAAGATGAACAAATCTTGTAGCGACAGTCCGAGCTGTATAGGCGCTAGCCCCGCTGACGTGATCAGGTAGTTAGATAGTAGTCGAAAAAGTTGCTGTTTCAGACATTTTTTAGTTGTTATATCGGAAATTCAAGCGACCTTTTTAGCTTATTATTAGTATATATGCTTATAATATAACGTAATCAATACTTTGAATGGTGGGTTTTTCACTTAGGAATTCGATAGGGTGGTTTTTCGGCGTGTGAATTATTTGGAATCTTTGTCGATCCTTACTATTAAGTACTACCGTACTTAAAATAATAGATGAAATGGAATTTGTTTCTATTATAATATATATATATTTGTGCAGTTAGTTTTATAGCAAATAAATCTAACATAATAGTTTATCTTAAAATAATTTTATCATAATTTACTTATTAAAAAAGTAGACAAATATTTAATGTTGTTATAATTTGACTAAATATTTTAAAATACTAATCAAACGAGATCTCTGACTAGTTTGTTGGAACTTCTCTTTGTCTTTCCCCGATGGGTGAGCCATAAGTTTACAAACTTACAAAGCTAAAACCTGAGGTTCGAGTCCCCGCAGTGGACACAGCAGATAGCCTAATGTGGATTTGCTCTAAAATGAACAAGTGAATTTAATTTCGCCCCCAGTGACACAGCGGTATGTCTGTGGACTTACAAGGCTAGAATCTGGGTTTCGATACCCGTGGTGGGCTG